AACTGAGGCAAGGAGCAGGTCAGGCCTTGTCTGAGATCTCAGAGGCAGATCGTAGACCACCAGAAGGGCCCTGACCAGCACCTGCTCCATGCCCTGGGCCGGGCAGAGAGGGAAGGGCCAGGGCTGGGGAGGCTGGTGGCCGGAGGTCACTGGGGGCCCTGAGGCCGTGGTGCTCCATCTTCCCTCGGGCAGGATGGGCTATAGTTGGCTTTTTCCCATGGGCCCCGGACGCCTTCCTCCATGCTCCTGCCTCTGGGTCTCTTCTAGAAATTTCCAAGCGGGAGGAAGTGGAGGCAGTGACCATCGTGGAGACGCCGCCTCTGGTGGTGGTAGGCGTGGTCGGCTACGTAGCTACCCCTCGAGGCCTTCGGAGCTTCAAGACCATCTTTGCAGAGCACCTTAGTGACGAGTGCCGTCGCCGTTTCTACAAGGACTGGTGAGGGCCGCCCTCGGGCGGAGGCTGTGTGGTCTGGCCATCCCTCCAGCCCCAGCATGGTGCTGGAACAGTGGGTGTGGGCAGGCAGGAGCGGTGTCTGCAGGAATGCATGTTTATGGGGGATTGCCTTCGCTTCAACAAGAGACATGTGCAAGGGGACTGGAGTAGAAATTGGGATAGAGAAAGAGAGGAAGCAAGGGTTCCGATTTAGGATTACATTCAGGGACTAATTTGATGGACTGTCAGAGTTGGCTCAGAGCTTCCTAGCAGCCAGGGTGAGAAAGGGAAGGAGCCGTGGACAAGCTCTTCTCATCAGAAAGAAAGGCACTCTGGGGCCTCAGATCTTCCCTTGCACTAAGTCCTGAAAGGGAAAGCCCATCTGCCCAAGGAACCTCACAGATACCCCCGTCCTTACAGAGTTGGAGGCGCCCCTGTCCTGGCCCTCTGGGGGAGGTGACAGGTTTGGGGCCCTGAGCCAGGGCGGGCTGGATGACCACAGGCGAGGCGGCTGACCTCTTAGAGCCTCTTAGATTGTGCCCCTCCATCTCAGACACCATCAGCCCAGGATAGCATCGGGGAATAGGAGCGCTCCCCTGTCTGCAGCCCAGAGACCGCAGGAGCAGGGCCAGCAGTGGCCTCCCTGGGAAAGGAAGGAGAGAGGAGGGGGCATGCACTGTTCTAAGAGCCCCACGCGGTGGGCTGTGGGCACGTGGGGCCCAGACGGGCCTGGCGAGGTGCCCCTGGCTGGCCCCTTAAGTGTCTCCTGCTTGTGGCGCAGGCACAAGAGCAAGAAGAAAGCCTTCACCAAAGCCTGCAAGAGGTGGCGGGATGCCGATGGCAAGAAGCAGCTGCAGAAGGACTTTGCCGCCATGAAGAAGTACTGCAAGGTCATCCGTGTCATTGTCCACACTCAGGTCCGCCCGGCAGCCTTGCCATGCCCTGGACTCACCCTCCCCCCCACCTCCTCCATCCCAGCTTCCAGGAACCCTGGCAAATGTCAGCCTAAAAATACCACAAGCCTGGGGCATGGGCCCAGAGGGCTGGGTGACCGGCCGCGCTGGCTGGCCGCCGCCCCAGGGATGGCATGCTGGGGGTCAGCATGCTCTGAGGGCAGGCTCAACCAGGGCCCTCCCATGCCCTGAGAGGCCCGGATCTCCTGCCAAACATCCTGGCCCAAGGGCCAGCCACCTCAGTTTGGGTCCTGGCCCAAGTGTGTATGTGAGCCAACATTCATACATAGGGTCTGGCTTGATTTGTGCTGATGAATTACTAACACATCTGGCTTATTCTGGAACACCGCCTTGGCGTCTTGTTCTCAGGGAAGGCTAGCCTAGGCCTGGAGCAGCACCCTGCTCCCCCCTGCTGTTCCTGGTTATACAGTAACCAGGTCATGGTCATGTCCGTTTCCCTTGAGGGACTGGAGCTTCACGGGGCCAGTAACCTGGCTGCCTCATTAGGGCTGCACCTTGTATGCAGTAGGCACTCCATAAGTGCTTGCTGAGCACTAGGCCATGGCCGGTGTCCCTGCTTCCTCCCATGTGTCCCCTCAGCCGGTGCCTCACACAGCAGCAGCCAGAGATACATAAACATACCAACCACCTACCAACCACCGTGAGTCACACCCTGCAGCTAGGATGAAGCCCAAGTTTCTCCCCACAAGACCTGCACAGGCAGGCCCCTGCTCACCTCTGAGTTCATCCCACATCACGTTTCTCCTCGCTCGCCATGGTCCAGACACACTGGTCCCCTCTCCATCCCTCCAACTCCCTGCACAGGGCCTTTGCAAATGCGGTTTCCCATGCTCCCCAAAGTTTCAGATCTTCACTTAGTGGCTCCTTCTTCTTATTGGTGTCACATCAGCGGGGTCCTCTCTGACTGCCCTGTGTGTAAGGACTGTCCCCTCTGCCCCCACGGTTCCATTAGAATGCTCCGCCCTGTCCAAGAATTTACTCGATTTCTGTCTCCCAACTAAATAGTGGCTCCCTGAGGTCCAGGACCTTGCCTGCCTCATTCCGTGCTGTATACCCCAGTGCCTAGCACAGAACATAACATAGAGACAGACCCGAGCTCTGGAACATCCGTTGAAGGGATGCATGCATGAAAGCCTGATGGGAGTCACTAGCCAGTCATGCCGAGTCTGCAGATGGGGGCTCTGAGCCTCTGGGAGCCGACCGGCTGTGCCATGTCCCGCAGATGAAGCTGCTGCCTTTCCGGCAGAAGAAGGCCCACATCATGGAGATCCAGCTGAATGGCGGCACAGTGGCTGAGAAGGTGGCCTGGGCCCAGGCCCGGCTAGAGAAGCAGGTCCCTGTGCACAGTGTGTTCAGCCAGAGTGAGGTCATTGATGTCATTGCTGTCACCAAGGGCCGTGGTGTCAAAGGTGGGTCTGGGTGGGGATGGTGGCTTCGGGAAGGCCCCTGGGCTGGCCTCTCAGCCACTAGCCGCCCCCCACCTCCTTCCTGCACCTCCTGCAGGGGTCACGAGCCGTTGGCACACCAAGAAACTGCCGCGGAAGACCCACAAGGGGCTGCGCAAGGTGGCCTGCATCGGCGCCTGGCACCCTGCCCGTGTGGGCTGCTCCATCGCTCGGGCCGGGCAGAAAGGCTACCACCACCGCACAGAGCTCAACAAGAAGGTGTGTCCCCAGTCCTGGTGGTGGAGGGACACTCATGACCAGACCCCAGGGGGTGGGGTGCGTGATGCAGACACCGCCTGGCCCCCCGAAGGCTCTGAAATGCCCCTCCAGTGCCTGGGTCTAAGCACACATGCTGGTGGGGACTGACATCCCACTGGCTCCGGAGGCCCCCTGAGGCCTGCCACATGCCCTGTTCTCCTGGCAGATCTACCGTATTGGCCGGGGGCTGCACAAGGAGGATGGGAAGGTGGTCAGGAACAATGCGTCCACCAGCTACGACGTGACGGACAAGTCCATTACACCACTGGTGAGTGGGCGGGGCACGCATGCACGGGCAGGCATGTGGCATACTGGCCTGCCCCGGGAGCTTAGGGCCCAGAGAGCGGTGGCTTGGCAACGCAAGCCAGTGCTGCTCCCATATCCTCTGAGCCTCCCCTGCAGACAGCTTCCTGTCCCACTGCTGTCAGGGGGTGTGGAGGGCAGCAGCTGCAGCTGGGTTCCAGTCCCACCTGCAGTGTGGAGCACCTCCAGGGCCTAGAACAAGCGACTCCACGTCCCGGAGTCTCGGTTTCTCCCTCACTAAAATGTAGGTTGTGAACTGAGCTAAGGAGGGACTCAGAATAGGGCTCAGATGCTGCCCTGGTGAGTGACCCAGGGTGCTGCCCTGGGGCCAGGCTTGCAGCTTCCCCTAACCCGGTGGCCCCTTGTGGGGCCTGGATCCTGGCTGACTCAGCTTCCCACAGGGCGGCTTCCCGCACTACGGCGAGGTCAACAACGACTTCGTCATGCTGAAGGGTTGCATTGCTGGCACCAAGAAGCGGGTCATCACGCTGAGGAAGGTCAGCGCCTCTGTGGTGGGCTGGGGAGCAGGAGCCCCATGGGCCCTGGGAAGGTTCTGGGGGCTGGCCTCCCTGTCCTGCACCTTGCTCAGAGGAGGGTGGGGATGGGAAGAGCAAAAAGGAGGGGTTCTGGCAGGAGCTGGGTGAGTGAGTCCTTCCAGGTGTGGACTGGGGGTGGTGGGAGGCGGTGGGCGAGGACCTTACATCTGGCTCTCGTCTTCCACGGACCCCCAGTCCCTGCTGGTGCACCACAGCCGCCGAGCCCTGGAGAACATTGAACTCAAGTTCATCGACACCACCTCCAAGTTTGGCCACGGCCGCTTCCAGACCGCTCAAGAGAAGAGGGTCTTCATGGTGAGCCCGCCCACCCCTTGTCCTCCGGGGCTCAGCCCCCACAGCCCTCCTGCGCCAGAGTGGGGCAGCTGGAGCAGATGAGGGTCGGGGGCGCCCCTGCGCTCATCCCCATCTGGGCCCGCAGAAGCTCCGCCCCGCGCAGGATTCGCGCAGGCAACAAAGCCGCAGCCCCGGGATCCCGGCCGGGGCAGTGGCGCCGGCTAGACCTCGGTCGCTAGCGCCCCTCCGTCTCCCCCAACCCCCAACCAGGGTCCCCAGAAGAAGCATCTGGAGAAGGAAAAGCCGGAGACCTCGAGGGACCTGTAGGCGGCTTGCGATGGAGGGAGCCCGAAGGCAGCGCGGCGCCACCCCCGCCTGTCCCCGCTGTCTAATAAAGTGCGGAGGCGACTCTGCCCGCGTGTCTCAGAGTGGGGAGCGCGGGAAGGCGGGTGGCCCGCAGGTGGCCCAGGACCTAACCCAGGGCAGGCGTGTTGCTGCCTGGCCTCGCCCCGGCCCGGCGCAGCTCAGAGGCGCCCCCTGGCGCTCGGGCGGGGCGGCAGTGTAGGGGGCGCCGCACCCGAGCCCTTGCCGCGAGATCACGGGGGCGGGGCCTCGGGGCGGGGCCTCGGGGCGGGGCCTGCGCAGAGTCTGGGCGTCTCTGATCGTGATTGGTCCTCTGGGGGCGGGGCCTCGTGGAGCCCGGCAGGCTCCGGGCAGTGATTGGTCCTCGGCCGGAGGGGCGGGACCCGGGCGCAGGCCTGGCTATCGCGGGCCAGTGGCTTCGGGTCCGTCCGGGTGCGGTCGCTGCGCTGTCCCGCTGGCGCCATGTCGTTCTGCAGCTTCTCTGGGGGCGAGATTTTCCAGAATCACTTTGAACCGGGTATGAGTTGTGACCTCCCGGGAGGACAGCGGGCGGGAGCGCGCATAGAGCGGCGGTGGAGCCCCGGGATCCCGGAAGGGCAGAGTTCACGGGGGGGTTGCGGCGAGGGGTTGCGGGAGGACGGAGGGGCCTGGAGCCTGGAAGGTGGGGGTACCTGAGGGGAGGGGCGACCTGGGGAGCGGGGTCGCTGGCCGGGCGTCGTGCGTGAACGAGGCGGTTTCCGGGAGGAACCCGCGGGGTCAGGGTGCTCGCAAGGGGTGAGGCCGGTGGCGGGGGGGGGGGTTGGGGGATCCGGATTAGGAGCAGGACTTCAGGGGGACGCGACGGAGGCTCCTATCCTAGTGCGCCCCCTGATGATGCCGCTGCCTTGCCCCCTCCCCTGTTCCTGGGACCCCAGGTACCCCTCGGAAGCACAGAGCGTTCCCTTCGGAACGCCCACCTGGGTGCTTCCCCAGTCCTCCCAGGGCCCTGGGGCTGGGCAACCGGGACAGCCGCCAGGCCGCCAGGGCCAGTGAAGTTTAACCTGACAGCCTGAGTGGAGGTGGGGGAGTAGAGATGGGAGTGGTTTGGGGCTGGGGGGACCCTCAGCCCTGGCCCCAGGCTTTGAGAGGCCCTGGCGTGTACCCTTCTGGGCTGTGCGGCTGGTAATGGACTAATTTGGTAAAAACATGCCCACAGCCAAGACTAGGCAGTGCTCCCCCTGGGGCAGGATCTGTTGGGTGTCAGCCCTCTAGGGGGCTGGGCTGCGACACTGGGCATCTGTGGACGTCAGCTGTGACCTAGGGCTCTCTGGGCAAAGACCTCCCCTGGGGCCTTCTGGCTGTGGGACCGCAGTTGTCCTCAGGCCGCTCTGCGGAGCTGAAGCTTCCTTCCACAGCAGCTCCCCAGCCCTCCTCGCTTCCTTCTCCACTTGCTGGCAAAGGCTGAGTGGTTGACGGACTCCGGGAAGGGCTGTCCTCAGGCGGGGCTGCGGGTGCTGGGCACTCCTGTAGGGGGGCTTAGGGGGTTAGGCGTCTGCCTTCAGCTTGGGTCATGATCCCAGGGTCCTGGGATCGAGTCTTGCAGGTTTCCCACTGAGCAAAGAGCTGGTTTGCTCCGTGGGAAGCCTGCTTCTCCCTCTCCCTCTGCTTGTTGCTCTCTCTATCTGACAAATAAATAAATAAATATTTAAAAAACAAAACAAAACTGGAAAAGGGGCGCCTGGCTGGCTCTGCTGGTAGAGCGCGTGACTCTTGATCTCCGGGTCATGAGTTCAAGCCCCGCAGTGGACATGGGCTCCTGCCCACTTAAACAAAACAGCGAGACTGAAGTGGGAAGGTGTACATCACACACACACCGCTGATGAGAGCCAATGAGCTGAATGAAAAGCGGCTCTCCCGGGCTTGGCACATGCTAAGGAGCACTGGATATGAGCTCCGAGGTGTGTCTCCACAGAGCCAGGCCTGGGTGGGGGGCAGGTGGGGGCGTGGGGAGGATGTGCAGGCCACCCTGCAGATGGGCACAGTGCTCTGTTCTCCTAGGCTTGAGGATTTGGCAGCTCACCCCAAAGACACTGGAGCCAACGTGTGTGCCTTGGCCTTTCCTTCTGCCCCCAGGTGTCTATGTGTGTGCCAAGTGTGGCTACGAGCTCTTCTCCAGCTGCTCGAAGTACGCACACTCATCCCCATGGCCCGCCTTCACGGAGACCATTCACGCCGATAGCGTGGCCAAGCGTCCAGAGCGCAACTCTCCTAACGCCCTAAAGGTGAGGGCAGCCGCGGGGCGGTGGTGGGGGTCCGAGCCAGGGAGAGCCTGAGGGCTGGTCATTCCTTCCTTCTTCGTGCTCCCCCCACAGCTCTAGGGGCTCAGAGTCTGTCTACTCCCGGCTTCCGGCTTTAGCCAGGCGAGCTGCACCCCCAGACTTCTGGGAGAGCCTGGGGTCCCGGTGGAAACAGGGAGTCAGGACAGCTTTCCTGCATAGGCTCCAGGATGGAGGCTGACCACTCCCGCCTGCAGTTACTTTGGGACATGGGTGTGGGGAGGACGCCGTCTGTGGGTGGCAGGAGGGGCCGTTACGTGGCTGTTTTGCGGTCTTTCCAGGTGTGCTGTGGCAGGTGTGGGAACGGGCTAGGCCATGAGTTCCTGAATGATGGCCCCAAGCCGGGGCAGTCCCGCTTCTGAATATTTAGCAGCTCGCTGAAGTTCATCCCGAAAGGTGAGCTCACCTTCTGGCCGCTGGACACAGGCCTGTTGACATTTGGAAGCCCAGGGGCGGGGGGCACACTCTTCTCACCCACTGACAGTGACAGCTCATGGGGGCCCCAAAGCATACAGCCCAGGAGCTGCCCATGGCCACCCCAGAGGGTGGCTGCAGGGCAAGGACAAGGGGGCAGGTGTCCTGGTGGATCACATGTGCCCCAAAAAGGGGCATCTGACAGTGGATGTGGTGGAGGGTTTTCTGAGGGGGCAGGCAGGGCTGGGCGGAGGTTGAGGGTTAGGGCTGTGTGGCCACAATCTTGCTGCTCAGCCTCTCTGAGCGGTCCCCCTCCTCTGCACAGTGGCTAGGCTCACAGAGCCCCCTTCACAGGCCGATGTGAAGGCACCCACGTTGACGTGGTGCCCAGGGGCCTGGCAAGCAGTGAGCACTCGGCTGTGTGCCCCTGTGGGCAGTGCGCTCACTCACTACGGGTTTCTCCCAGTCTCTGCAAAAGAGCAGTCCGGCGAAACTTTTCGCAGAATGGTGTCAAGTGAAGGGCGTCTCCCGCACAAGGTCCCCGTGTGCCACTCCACTTTTGTACAAGACCTTATACGTTAGCACCCGTTTTCATGAACTGAAAGAAATCCAAAGAGGTTTTTCACTCAGGAGGAAAGTGTTGCCTTACTAATGTAGGGAATGTGCGTGTAGCGGGAATGAAACGTAAAAGCAAAGTGGCCTAACGCCACCTTTGGGAAATTAGGGCTCCGTGTGCTAGCAGTTTTTTGGGGCAGCTGTTTCCCGTGTGCGTCTGATCCGAGCACAGCACCCCTCTGGCCGTTTGGCCTCCTGCTGGCACAGGTGCTATGCTCACAAGCCGGCCCTCTTCTGTCTGCCCCGCCAGCCCCTCTGGGCTCCTCCCCACACTTTGGAGCTCACATCCCAGCTCCCCACGTGCCCCCAGTGGGACCGTGGCCAGTCCCTAACCTCAGTCTGGTCATCTGTAAAATGGGGTTGCTGACAGCACGTGCTCGCTGACATCTCTGGGGAGGTGGGGGGAAGTGAGGGCATCTGTAGGGCCAGCGATGACAGGGTGAGATGTGATTTGGTCCTGTAGTGGTTAGTGTTCTTTGTCTTGTGGAGGAAGGAGAGACTGGGCTCTCCTGGAGATTTGGGGAACAAAGCAGGGCACACAGCCTCCCCCAAGCTGGGTGCCTGGGTCCTCGCAGCTGCCCCGTCCTGCTGGCTGGAGTGGGCTGGCCAGCTCGTGGGATGGCGTCTGAAGCATGATGTAGCAATGGCTTGTGTTTCTCTGTCTCCCTCCTTTTTTTTAGGCAAAGGAACTTCTGGCCCTCAGGAACCGTAGGCACACAGCACATACCCATTCCGGCTGGACACTGCCCTGTGGTCACGCTCCGGCCATCCCACCTTGGGATTGGAACCCCAGACGTTCAGACAGGGGAGGGGGCTGGCTGAAGCCTCAGTAGGTCTTGGCCCTGTGCAGGTTGTCTTTGGGAAGAGCACTGGGCTGCCACGGTGGCCATAGCCTGCTGCTGGGCTGGGCTGGAGGACCCCGCTGTGGGCTCGCCTTAGCCTCCTACTCATACGGGAGTCTCAGAGAGGTGGGCTCTAAGCCTAGCTTGCCCTTGAATGACGGCACACCCCACCTTCTCTTCTCCGCAGCCCATTGCCCTCTCCCTGCCTGTCTGGACTCACCTCTGTGGGACCCAATTCTGAGATGGGCTCTGGCTCTCGCCAAAGCTCGCGTCCCTCTCCCCCAGGCCATGCGGGGAGATGGAATGCAGAGGGAGGCGGCCCTTGCCAGCTGCCCCAGCTCCGGTCACTACATGATTCACTCTGGTTAAACCCGTCCAGGCAGCCAGAGTGGTGATGACCCGTGACCTGCTGGGGAGTGGGCCCAGGGGACGGGCCTCTGGCCTCTCAGTTTTAAGAGGAGAAGTCCCCCACCCCGTTCTGCATCCGGGTGGGTGCCCCTTGCCTCACTCCGCCTTAGGAAAGTGGCTGTTGCCCCATTACCTTGATTGTGCAAGGCTAGGGCTGGGAGCTCGGAGGCTGGGGCTCACGCCTCCCCATGAAGCCTTGGCTTCTTGCACACGTCCAGAGGGTCCGTGATGCCAAAGGCTGTCCCGTCTGAGCTCCCCCTGGAGCCGTCCAGGATCAATAAACAAATGGACCTGGGCCTGTGTCTTCATTCCCACCAGGCGTGCTAGGACACCTTGTTTCACGTGTTCCACAGATATTTACTGAGCAGGGGCAGCCTGCTGCTGGGGATGGAGCCGTGGGACACACGGGCCTCCCCACCCAGCACGGCCTTGCGGTGTGTTCGAGGAGACCGCAAGTTCCCGTCCCGTGATGGTCCAGGGCCTGAACAGCCACACCAGAACAATGATGCGGGACTTCGTGGGGGGCGATGAGGGGGCTAGTGCTTTGGCCCCCTGGCTGGGGAGGAGGACGCTGAGAGGCAGATCATCTCAGCTCAGCAGTGACAGGTGAGAGAAGCCAGAAGGGAGACGCCCTGAGAGGGTGACAGATGCGTGCCCCTGCAGGGGGGAGGTCAGAATTCCGTGGACAAATCCCCGAAAGTGTAAGAATGGGTATTAAGGGGTGGGATGATGGTGAAAGGAAGATAAAGTTGGATCAGGCTGAATTTATTGGTAGAGGCTCACCAAGCAGAGGTGGGAGGTTTAATGGTGCTGCTCAGGGGACGAGAGGGGGCTTGAGCCTTCGGTCGCTCGGTTGGCTGAGACATGACCCGGAAAGCAGCCTGCGCTAAAGGGGAGGGGACGTGCCAGCACTGCCTTGCTTGGATGGAGGGAGGGTCCAAAGGCTTAGGGAGATGGGAGCATCAGAGCAGATCTTTCCGTGAAAACCCGCTCCCTGACCTCCAGGTCCAGAGTACACACCTTTCACCATGATTGTGAAGAAGCCCCAGCATCTTCTCGAGGCCAGAAATTACGTACAGGACTGCCAGCGAGCTGGGAAAACAAAGTGCGACGGGGGTCACTGGGTCCCCAGGGGTCAGGGGTCACGGACCCAAGGCAAGGGTGGGGTACAGTGACTGAGACAGACTGAGACAGACTCGCGCCAGTCAGGTCGGTGTGACGCACACAGAGCGAGGCCGTTGGCGAGCAGGTCACAGTGTTCCTGGACGTGAGACAGATGGGAAGCCTCTGGATTCTTCCTGGTAGGAACGAGCAGCCATTCCAGGTCAGGGGAACAGAAGTCCGGCTGGAATCGTAAGAACAAGGTCATGACCCTTCCGTCAGCTCCTGGAGCTCCCAGACCTGAGCCAGTTTACAGACCCAGGGAGGCCCGTCCCCTCGAGGAAGGATCTTGGTACATTGCCCCAAATTGGATAACGTTAATCTTTCTCCCAGCCTTCCCCAAAAGGACCTATACTGGGGTGGCTGTGCACTGGGGAAAAGGAAATAATCAGACATTCCAGGGACTACCAGACACGGGGTCCGGACTGACTCCTGTTCCAGGGGACACACACGCTCGGCTTCCGAGGAGGGCTGACGGAGGCGGGCGGCAGCAGACGGTCGGCTCAGGCCTTCTCCCAGTGGGCCCATCGAATGGTCGGTCCCCAGTTCTGAATGCATCGTGGGAGTGGACATACTCAGCAGCCTGGAGCACCCCATGTCGTGAGGACCAGGGCCTGGCTGCCGGTGTGAGAACGGGGGTGTTGGAGGAGGGATGAGGTTGGAATGGCCCGGGAGGGAGGGGCAGGGGGGCTGGCCGCACTGTTGGTCTGTTCGTCCTACTCACAACTTGGTGACAGGACTCTGTCCTTTCCCCATCCCCAGCCGCAGACCGGGGGTCCCTGCTGTGGCGGCAGGGAGGGGAGAAGGTCGCTAACCTGTGCAGGGGCCTTTGGCTCCCTGTGTGACCTTGGGTGGAGCACTTCCCCTTCCTCTGTGGAACCCAGCCTGTCCCCTGGGTGGGGGTGGTGGGTGGGGCGGGGGGGGGGGCGGTGGTGATGGCAGATTCCCAGTCGCTCTGCCGGTCTCCGGTCTCCGGGTGGCTCAGTGGCCCGCGCAGCAGAGGAAGTTGTGCAACAGCTGGGAGGGGTCAGCACTGACTGAAAGCACCAAGGAGGACCACGCAAAAGAACACCCTGCGGGAGGGGCTTTTTGCTGTTTGCCCTTCCCCCCAGCGTGGCAGCCTCCTGCCCTACAAAACACCTCTCTCGCTGCCCAGCTGGGGGCCAGTCCTGATGGCAACTGTGAGAAATACCCCCCACCCCTGCCTGGGACAGCAGGGGATGTGCCCTCTGCCCCATGATTCCAGCTCCTACCTCTGCCTGACTTCCTCCTGCACTCCTCCTGTGTCCCAAGTTGGGGCTGCCCTAGTCACCCGGGATCACCATCAGCTCTGGGGCCTTGTCCAGCCCAGCCTGTGATCTGCACACTAGGAGTCTAGCAGCCAGCCTTGGCCAAGGGCAGGCCCACCGCAGGTGAGCAGAGACTGGATGCTTTGTCACTTCCATGCTGAGTGGTTAGCAGCGGTCTCCAGGCCCAGGGCTAGGATGGACTTTGCTTATGTCTCCCAGCACTCCTGGCTTAGCACGCTGGCACAGCACATCCCTGAGTGAACCCGATCCAAGAACAGGCTGGCCTCCTGCAAACTGGGCCGATGTGTCCAGGACATAGCCCTGGGGCCAGCTCTCCAGGGCCAGATCTCTAGCAGGGTGGGCTGAAGGACCCACGGGTGTCTGGGGCTGGTGCTGGGTCTGGTGAGGCTGGGAGGGACGTTGTGAGAGTGGGGCTCCAAGCACACATCCAAACGTCCAGGTTCCCTGGCAGTGGGGAGGGCTGGAAGCAGGGTCCTCGGTGGGGTGACGGGAGAAGGGTGGACCCAAAGCCCCGAGGTCCCTTTTCCTCGGGAGCCTGGATATGGATGGCTACGAGCAGGGTCTGTCTGCCTGGGCCGGGCTGGAGCGAGAGGTCTCCTGTGGATTCATAAATCCCCCCACCCTCTTCCTCCTGCTGGGTTACACCACCGCCTTTGGCCTGCAGCCCCAGTTCCTCCTTGAGAAACAAAAGACTCTTAGAACCCAGTTCCCGCCACCCCCACCGCTGCCCCCTCGTGTGCCAAGTGGATCCTCCAGGGCACAGCCTGGCAGCCAAGGGTTCTGCTCTGCGGTGGAGGGCTCCTCTGCTCTGCCAACACCAGTCACCAGCAGCCCGCAGGCCCATGCACGCAGAGGCACCCAGGGCAAGGGCCTGGCGGGAGAGAGAAGACATCTGTCTGGGATCCCACAGCAGAGGGCATGAGGGAACTGACCGTGCGTGGTGCTTGCGCTCACTCAGGGCTTTCTTTTTTCTGAGTGACAAAGACCAGGGAGAGCCGTGTCTCGGGTGGGGGTGCTGCCGATGCCCAGGTCCCAGCAGACCCCTGACTCCAGCCATGTCTGTCTTTGGGCCGGGCCGGCAAGGCCAGCAAGGGGACCTTCGCCCAGAGAGGTCGGCGAAGGTCACCGCCAAGCCAGCCACCGTGCCCCCACCCTCATACGAGGTCCTAGTAGGGGACCCAGAGCGATGACCCTCTCTGAGTCCACCCGTGCTCGAGGATCCCTCCCCAGGCAGGGACGCAGTGACCGTGTGCACACCTGCTGGCAGGGGGCGCGCTCGCTCCGCGCTGCGCGTGCGCCGGCCCGGTCCGCGAGGCCCTGCAGTTCCCCAAGGCGCCGCCAGGGGGCGAGCGGCGGCATTTCCGACGACGGGGCCCGGGCCGCGCCCGCGCCCGCGCCCAGCCCGGGGCCCAGCGACCCCGAGGCGCTCGGTGGTCAGTGCCTGCGTCGCCCGGCCCCTCGGCCACGCTGGCCCAACCTGCCGGTACCCGGCACACAGGCTGGTGGCTCCTGGCGTCCGAGGGCGCAGGGACCCCATTTGGAGGCTTCACGAAAGGGACGGGCGCAGGGCGAGCCGTCGAGGCCGGAGTGCGGAACGGAGGTGGGGGGTGGGACGGCTGCTGCCCGGACGCTCCAGCCTCTCCTCCAGGACAGCCCGGCGGGACCCACGGGCACCGACGCCTCCTGCCTCCTCTCCCCGCCGCCCTGCCACCTCCTGGCCCTCCTGCGGCCCCAGGTTCCAGCTTCCTCCTCCCGCGCATCTTTGGCCACGTTTGTCCCCATAGCAGTGAGAGCCCGAGCTGGCCTCCCCCGACCAGTGTGATCTTTGCAAAATAGCAGTGAGACCAGAAACTTCCCTGGGTGCTTCCCGCGGCTCTGCTGGCTCTGGTCCCACAGACCCCACTTCTCCAGCTAGATTTCCACTCCATGCATGAAAGTGGTTTCACGCAGTGTAACCGTGCAGTTTCCGCTATCTACACCCCTGCACGCGGACTCTTCACCTGGGCCTCGAGGCCAGCCAGGCTCTATTCTAAAACATGCTCTCTGCTCCGGCCCTCTCCAGTTTGCTGTTCATTCTTCCTCATTTCCTCCCCGTGTGCTAGAATCCTTCTAGAAGTTTCTCCTGGTGGCTCTCTCCTTCCCCCACACCACAGGGGTCCTGGGCGGGTCTCCTATACATGTGCACAGACAGGGTCTCTACTGTCCCCTTGCAGGTCTCACCCCTCCACAGGTCAGAGACCACTGCACGCTGACCTCATTCCTTCCCAAAGGCTGAGCCCCGTGGGAGGCTGCACCTAGTAGCAACCGAGGAACGGATATCAGATGGCACTGCCTTCTGCCCACTCCCTCTGTAGGGACCAGTGAGCCAGGCCACACATCTGCGTGAGTGTGTCCGTGGTCTGGGGGTACAGGGATCTCGGGACCACCAACCACCCTACCCTGGCCCTAGGGTTCAGCTTACCAGAGTTTAGGGGCCAGAAGCACAGACAAGACTGTTGGTGGGCCTCCTGTGGCTGACAGGAGGCGAGGGGCCGAGGGTTACCTGTAGACGGGCTCTCTCCACCCCAAGCCCTCACCGCCCCACAAGGTCTGTCTCCAGGCATGATTTGTTCCTTGTAAAACCACAGAGATTACCCATGCGTCAGCCCCTGGCTTCATGTCTTATCATGTTTCATCTCCAGTGAGGACGTTAACAAGCTGCTCTTGGCTTCAAAGGGCTTGGCAGCTGCGTCTCGGGAGCAGGACTCAGCAGGAGGTATGGCCCTATGGGCTCTGTACACCCATGGCAGGCTGCCTGCTACCCTGGGCTGCCCCCTTTGCCTCGGACTCCAGTGGCTTTTTGCTTCCTTAGTCTCCGCATTGTGGATTTTTGCTGGGCCCCCATCTCAGAGCCAGAACCCCTGGTGTGTGTCTGGAGGTGGGGGGAGGGCAGGGAAGCTGGAGTCAGAGGGAGGAGAGCAAGGGCTGGGATAGCGGGCAGAGTCACTGTTCTTTGAGGCGGGTGTCAAATTTCAGGGTCCTCTAGCCAGACCGGGAAGCCTGAAGCTTAGGGCAGTGGGGGCTGCTGGGGAATGGGGGAGTTTGAGACGTCTGCCCCAGGATGCTCTGCCCTGGCATCTGGGTTCTGGGTCTCCCTTGAGGGCCAAGCCCAATAAGACTGGCTGCATGCCTGTCTGTGTGTCTATCTGGCCAGCTGTGGTGGTGGAGTGCTTCCCCTGGAAATGAGGGGTGGATGGAGTGTGGCCTTCTCTGGTGTCCTGTCCACTGCCCAGGCTGGAGTTGCTTCTGGGACTAGGTCACTGGTGGGCAGAGAGCTGCACACTTGGGGCTTCCCACATTGGGGACAGGGGCTGGGAAGCCTGTGGACACCCCCCACCGTGCACAGCTGTGCACACATACACCCCACATGCACACGTGCTCCTGTGGCCTCGGCAGAGAGCGGAGTTCCTGAGCCTGCATCAGCGTCCTTGCTCCCAATGGAACGTGCTCCAGATGACACAGTCACTGTGTCATTCACGGGGACTCTCACCAGGGCATCAATGGCTAGACCAGAGCCCCGGTGCCCTGATGGGGCCACTTAGATGATACCCAGCCTTCCCCATGATGCTGAGCAGCTTCTGTGTCCCGAAGCCTGGCTTGGGGCTGTGATGCTGGAGGAGGTGGGGTGGGGTGGGGTGGGGTGGGGGCAAAGAGAGTCCTGTTTCTATGAGACCCTTTAGATCGATTTTGAGCATACAGGCTGTTGCCAGTGCTCGCCTCTTGCAGAATGGGGACTGCGTCCTGGAAGAATTGTTTCATTGTTATAAAGGGAGCTGATCCAGGCCAGTTAGGGATAAGCAATTTGCAGGGCCCCATGGTGGGTCCCAGGGACCTGCATCCCCGCCCACTCCCGGAGAAACAGGGGACAGTGGCAAACAACCCTCTGTCTGTGCTGATGGCTCCAGGAAGACCTAAGGGAAAGCAGTGAGGGTGGCTGGAAGCCAGCTGGTGGCTTCCCCTGTGCAGGAGAAGGTTCTGGCCCCTTTCAGCAAACCCCATGGCCTTGGGCAGGCTCCCTGTGGGTGTGACCCCTCCGTGTGGCTACTTATCTCGGAGGCCCTCCTTCCTCCCCATTCCCGGCCAAGGGAACTTCTTCCTCGGTCCCTCCTGACACTGGGAATCTTGTCTACCTTGGTAAAGCCTTCTGTGCCCCACTGTCCCCAGGGGGAGCTGGTCACCAGGAAGCCAGGTCCCAGGAAAGTCTTTCCTCCTCAGTCTTGTCTCCCAGGAAGATGAATTATAGTAGTGAGGTCTGCCAGGGCGAGAGCAGCTTCAGCGCACCCCTTCTTGTGCTGGGGTCCCTGTCACACATCCACTGCCTCCTTATCATAAAGAGCTTGGGAGCTAAGCACCCAGAGAGATGGGGGGGCAGTGTCATCTTTGCTTTCTAAGGTAGGAAAGTGAGGTTGAGAGAGACTTGATGCCTGCAAGTTCCCCTGCTGTGGGGGGGGCGTGCAGAGCTGGGCTTGACTCAGCCGCCAGCACAGAGATGTCCTCGCTGTCACCCTGCCCTATGCTGCCTTCCCCACCCCACCCCCCACCCACCGCTCCCTACCAGAGTGAGGTGGGAGCAGTGGGCTCCGGGGGCCGGGGGTGGGTAGTGGGTAGATATCGCTTAGGGGTCCCCCTCCAGGAGGAAACCGCATCCTCTGTGCTCAGGCAAATCCGGCATCTGAAGTGGAAACACCCCACACAAATCAAGGACAGCTGGGCCTGCCCTTGGCCGCAGCCCCCTGCTCCTGCCCCCCTCCTTGCAGGCTCCAGAAGCCCAGCGGGCTGCGGGAGTGGGTCTAGGGGGTAGGGGTGTGGTTGCAGGGAAGGGAGTCCCAGAAGCCTCGCATGTGTGAAATCTCCCCCAGCTGTGCCCCGAGGAGGGAAGGACGTCCCAGTGTTAGTAGTCACTTTCCAGAGTGCGGCAGGGGCTTACACACCCCACCCTGCTGCCCGTGGGACTCCCGATGGGGGTGCCCACCCTGGGGAGGAGACAGGCTGCAACAGGGGTGGAGAGGAGCGTGGGAGGAGCGCACACATAGGTTCTTTCAGCCGTCTGCACGTGCGCGCGCGCACACACACACACACACACACACACACAGCCAGTCCACTAGTCATGCAACAAACGTTCGTGAGGCTGATTCCGAAATGCCCAAATTCAACCTTCAAAAAGATTCTTCCTGAGAGGCTAAACACAGAGTTGCCGTGTGACCCAACAATTCCCATGCCAGATACATGCCCGAGAGAAAGGAAACGTGTTCACACGAAAACTTGTGTGTGAACGTTCCCAGCAGCGTGATTCCCAGTGACCGAAAGCCGGGAACAAACCGGTGTCCCTCAACGGACGATTGGATCACGGAAGGTGGTCCATCTGGGCAGCGGGACGTCCCTCAGCCGTATGAAGGAGTGAGGCTCCGACACCCGCCACAACACACATGATCCTTGAAGACATGATGCCGACAGAGAGGAGCCAGTTGCAAAAGACCACGTGTTGTAGGACTCCACCTCCAGGGACGTCCAGGACGGGCCAATCTGTAGGGACAGAGAGCAGGTGAGCGGTTGCGGGGGGCTTGGGGAGGGGAGAATGGGCAGCGATGGCTAACGCGGCTGGGACTTCTTTTCGGGGTGATGAGTGTGTTCTAAAATCTACTGAGGTGATGGTGGCGCATTATGAATATACTGGAAGCCACTGAATCCCACAAGCTGGCTGGCTCAGTGGCATTGTATGGACGTGACCTCTCAGAGAAGCTGCTACTCAGCGTCAGGTCTGAGGTCTCCATCTTACAGGGAAGGAACAGGAGGCTCAGGTCGAGCTCCGAGAGCGCACTCCCTCTTGGAGATGGCCCTCTGCCCTCCACCCCTGCCCCATGCTCTCTGCTGCTGCTGTCCTCGGGCTGCTTGCCTGACCACCACCTCTTTCAGAGAGCCTTCCTTGACCTCTCCCTCCAGTCACATCCTTCCACCAGCTGGCTTTCTTCAAGGGCCCACTGGGCACTAGTTTCTGTTAGGTGTGGGGGTACACTGGTGGGCACATGTCCCAAGGCTGCTACCCTGAGTGTCCCCAGATCTGCACCCACCCTTCACTCAACAGTTGGATGGTGCCTGGAGGGAGGGCAGCAGCTAGTAAACTGTCCTTGTCCTTGGCCTCATTCCCCTCCCCCCAGCAAATTAGTGTCCTGCTGTCCTTGATACACTCCTTCTGGAAGGTCCTGAAGCAGGTGTGTGGGTGGCGGGAGGGCTGGGGGTGCTGAGGAAAAGGTACTCTCCGTGGGAGGAACAGCATGAGTGAAGAAGGAACAGCATGAGTGATGGCCGGGAGGTGGAAACCCACTGTGCCTGTGCTGGGCAGGGAGGCAGAGGGGACACCAACGTTTAATGCTGGATTTGGAGCCCTGAGAGATGCCTGCTGTGACGGTGGGTGCTGCAGGTGGAGTGGGACCTCACCCAGTAGAGCTCTAAGGAGAACCTGGCTGTTTGGAACAAATCCTCTTCTTTTTATTTATTTATTATTTATTTTTTTTAGGATTTTAGTTATTTGTTAGAGAGAGAGAGAGAGCACGTGGGAGCACAGGCAGACAGAGTGTCAGGCAGACGCAGAGGGAGAAGCAGGCTCCCTGCCGAGCAAGAAGCCTGATGTGGGACTCGATCCCAGGATCCTGAGCCGAAGGCAGCTGCTTAACCAACTGAGCCACCCAGGCGTCCCAACAAATCCCCTTCTAAGCTAGACGAGAAGAAGAACTTCGTGTGACCCTGTGTGTATCAACCTGCACCCCAGACAGTGCTGTGCCAGCAACCCGCCCACAGGGATCCTGGCTGAGTCTTGCCCTGACAAGCAGGTGCACGCCTGGTGTCTGGGTCCTGGGCTGCGGCCCTCATCAATGGTCTTCACCCCATTGGCTCTGCAGAGCCCCCTTGGTCCAGGGCTGCTTCTGGGTGGGAGCCCTGGAAATGACTGTGGGTCAGGGAGGCCCCTGCCCCTTGGAGGTACCCCAGGTTTCTAAAACGGTAATCCTACTTGGCGACCCTCTCCAGCCGCCAGGGCTGTGACCCTGACGAATAGCAAGCCGACTGTCAGCAAAGCGCTCCCTCTTCTGCCCTCGGACTTCCCTCGACTCCTGGGAACCCCTCTGCGCAGTAGGGCCCAGGTCCACGAGCCTCCGTGATCCACTGGCTCCGCCCGCGCACCTGCTGCTCCGCCCTGGTCCGGGAGGGGCCGGGATCCGTCTTCTAAGGCACTTCAGTCCTGTCACGGCCCTGAGACCCGACCTTTCGCCGCAGCATCCAGGCGCGTAACGGTGATGACCCCGGAGCCGAGCGGGCGGGAGCCCAGGGTCTGGGGGAGGGCGCGACTGCGTAGCCTCCGAGGCTCCAAATTGCGCCTGGGCCTCCACCCGCGCCGGCGAGTCCCAGGCAAAGCGGTGGTCCAGGGGGTGGGGCCACGGAGCTGGGCGGGGCCTCTAGGCCCCGCCCCCGCCCTCTCCCTGCTCGCGGGGTGGCGGGGCGCAAAGCAGAAGCCGGGCGCGGGCTGGCTGAGCGCAGCACCGGCCGGGATGCGCTTCCTCCTGCACTCCCCGTTCCAGGGCCTGAGCGCGGCACAACCCCATGGCAGGTAGCGGCGGCGTGGGCGGCGGGGTCGGAGGCGGCCAGGGCGCGGGGGCCGGGCAGGGGGCCGCTCTGAGGGTGCCGCGTGCGCCGCCGCTGGTCGCCGCGCTGGTGCTCGGCGCCTACTGTCTCTGCAGCCTCCCGGGCCGCTGCCCGCCGGCCACCCGCGCCTCCGTGCCGGCCCCCGCGCGCGCTGAGCAGCTCCGCGCCGTCGGCAGCCCCGGGGCGCCAGGCCTGCCGGTGGCCAGCGGCCTCGGACGCCGGCGCTTCCCGCAGGCGCTCATCGTGGGCGTGAAGAAGGGCGGCACGCGCGCCCTGCTGGAGTTCCTGCGGCTGCACCCCGACGTCCGCGCGCTCGGCTCTGAGCCCCACTTCTTCGACAGGTGCTACGAGCGCGGCCTCGCCTGGTACCGGTGAGCGCCCGGCCTGTGCGCCCCGTCGGCTTCGGTGCGCGCCCTGGCGAGTGCCGTGGAACAACCGCACAATGGCCCCCTGGGGTCTCACTGGAGACGCGGTGGGGTGAGGTATCCAGGGATCCGGGCTGAGACCAGCCTGATGGGGAGCCGAGGCTTGACCTCGGGGACGCGGTCCCCCTGCATTGGGTTCCACAGAAAGGAGGAGCGGTCACTGGCCGGGGTTTCCCAGAAACTTTGAAAAGTCCAGGGAAAACCCTGGTTCAGGGTTAATGAGGGTTCTCAGCAAGACTGGAGGGGGGAGTTCAATCCCGGAGGAGCAGTTTGAAGGTAGCGGGGCTTCAGCAGCGTTGGGAACGCTTCGTGCTCATCTGCCCTCCCCCGCTGGATCGCTCTGGGAAAGCATGTCTGACTTCTGGCCTGTTACCCCAAGAATTTTTCCTGTAGCCTCCTAGAAAATGTATGACCTCTCTCCCAGAGCCTCAGTTCTGGAAAGAGGACTTCTCGGTGATTCTGGGGGTCTGGATAAATTCTGGGTTTTCTTTAGAAAGGGGGAAGAGGAGGGAATGGGGACCCCAGCCTCATGTCAAGGGCTCTGTAGTTGCTCTGCTGCTGTCTGGATGGTCTTGGGGTACCTTAGCAAAAGTGGGGAGCACCCAATCCCGGCTGAAGCAGGGTGAGGCACTGCCCTCTCTCTCCTTCAACTGTGCACAAGCCGGCCATGGTGCCCCGTCCCTTCCTGCGGGGAAATGAGGGCTTCCAGATGGAGAATGAGTCACCCCATTCCCCGTAGCTCTCACCTCATCCTCGCCGAGCTATGGGGCAGAGAGGACCCAGCCAAGGTCACCTGGTGAATTAACGGGGAGTGCGGGGTGGCAGGATCCAGACTCTTGACTCCCTAGTATACCAGTGGCCTCTTCCCAGATTCTCCCCCTACCCAACCCACCCCCCAGCCAGTCCTGGGACACTCCTACTTGTTATCTTTGCCTTTTGCCTTAAAATCACTCATGGGTTTGCGGGGGGGCCTCAGTGTGAGCAGGGATCCTGGGTCCTGAGCTCTGAAGGGTTGCTGCTGTTTGGGGTCCTAGGGAAGTCAGGTGGTGATGGGGAATCGAGTCCGTCCTTGGATCCAGCTGGCTGATCCCAGCATCCTCGATGCTCAGGGAGAGACAGCCACCCCACTCTGATAGTGCAACCGCATTCAAAAGCCTCCCCAATTCCCTGGCTGCGGTGCAGGGGGAGAGGAAGAGGAGGAAGGAGGGAAAGAAGAAGAGGAGGGGCAAAGGGGCGGAGGACACTCTGTCACCTAGAGTGAACTTCAGAGCCCACCCTGGCCCCCATGAGCGTTGACTACAGGAGCTGCAGTTGGGTGCTGAGCTGGGCTAATGAGGGTCTGCTGCAGGTTCATCCCAGAGGCTTCTCAGAGAGCCTGGGGTCCGCGGGCCCTGTCTGGCCCCCTCTGGGTACAGGCTCCGGTACTGGGGAGGGTGAGGCACTTGAGAGGCAGGGGGTCCTGATTTTCAGCTCTGGGTAGGGGCTCTTCGGATCCTGGAGGGCCCGAGATGGGGGGGTGGTTCCAGGAGCATGTCTAACTCTGGTAGAGAAGAGCCTTTCTCCTTTCTCTTTTTCTGAGCCACCTCCTCTGGGGGGAGGGGTGGATGCAGAGAGTGCAGAGGCTCAGGTCCCAGGGGCCTCCATTAGTCCAGAGCTGTCTCCCAGGGCTGGCGAGTACCCCCGCTTCACCTGCCAAAGCAGAGCCAGGGGGAGCCAGGCTCACTGAGCTTCTGGGGTGTGTGTACTGACGTGTGGAGGTGCACTTGCTGTGCTCCTGGCTGCCGTGTGCCTCTGGACCTGTCTGTCCTTTCCACCAGCTGTGAGTGTGCAGTGAGCCTCCGAAAATGCCCACCCCTGCCTCAGGGTCCCCTAAAGCAAAGAGGTTACCCCACCCTGGCCATGGTCTGGCAGTGTTGTCCACTCTCAGGACCCCGGGTTGGACCTCCAGCGAGTGCAGAGCCCTGTTCTGGTTGGAGAGTTGGGGCAGGGAGTAGAGGAAGAGTGGCCAGTGCCCACCGTGGAGGGAGGCAGATGGGGGAACCCCCTGGCTCTGGGGCGCCCAAGCAGCAAATGCAGGAGCAGTGAATTCGGGGTCTAAGTCTGTGGGGGGAGGGATCTGGGCTTCTGTGGGACTTACCTCTCCCTGCTCACCCAGAGAGAGGTTCATGGGACTGGGGACTTGAGGTCCCCACTCCCCCCAGCACCACAGAGTTCCACACAGAAGCTAGGACTGGTTTCTGCTGGGTCCCAGGCCAGGCTGGATGGGGCCCAGCAGAGGTGTAGGACGGAGCTAGCGAGCAGCCAGCAGGGCTGAGGAGGAGAGAGTCGCCCAGGGCTGGACTGAAGCCGCAAGAAAATGCAGACCAGATGAACTTGGGGTGGGGTGAGGAGGGGTGTCCACACAGCAGCTTGTCACATGTTTGCCGTGTGGGGGTCAGTGTCTCGTTCCCTCTTTTCCTCCCTATTCTCTCTCATCTCCCCCAGATCCCCAGCCCACCCTACCCCATTCCCCAGACCAGGCCTGCGGAGAGTCGTTGAACCCAAAGATCTCAGAGCTCAAAGCTGGTGTGTGGTGGGAGCGGGCTGGGAACAACATCCCCGCTCCTCCCCGCGGTGGGAGCCGAGGCACACGCACCAGTCTGCTCCTCTGACTTCCTCGGAGAGATGCACAGTGGGTGGTGATGTCTTCCTTGTAGCCCCCCCTCCCCCCCAGGCAGGAGTGAAGGGGAGGGGGATATTCAGAAGCCGAAGTGCCCAGTCTGCGAAGGAAAAGAGGGTGCACCCCTGAGGTCACTTGCTGCCTGGGGGATAGAAGGGATGGGAAGAGTGTGTCGAAGGTGGACGGGGTGTCCCTTGAGCAACCGAGGCCTTTGTCGTCCCTGAGGCAGGCGATGAAGCGAGGCTTCTTCTTCTTCCTCTTCTTCTTTTTAAAAGATTTATTTATCTGGGCTGTGGCAGGGGCAGAAGCAGAGGGAAGGAGAGTCCCTGCTGAGCACAGAGCCCAGTACCGGGCTCGATCTCATGATCCCAAGGTCAAGACTTGAGCTGAAACCAAGAGTGGGTCACTGAACTGAATGGACCACCCGGCACCCCAGGGACGGTGACTTCTCATGTGGCCTGGCTCACTGTGTCTTTGTGGGTCTCAGCAGTGAGGTTCAGCGTGGGGAGACCTCCCTTCCCTCTTGTGGAAGCCTTGGGTTTCAGCCCTTGGTGTTGTCACCAGCCAGGCTCTCCCTGAACTTCGCCTTTTGGAGGGGGAGGACTGGGGACTACTCCTAACTGGACTCCCAGCGGTGGGAGGCAGGCCGAGAGGTGCAGGGGCTCTGGGAACAGAATCTGAGCGGACCGCGGGGCAGCGGCTGCAGCCCAGGGTTGTAGGCTCGTGTCTGCCCTCTCTTCCAGCTTCCTCCATGAGCCTCTGTGTGCCTGCCTATCAGCTGGGGCAGTGAGTGGCATAGAGGGAGTCCCAGCTCAGTCGTTCATGAAGACGGGGGAAGCAGAGCTGTCCCCATTGCTTCTGTAGACCCGCTCTGCCTGAAGCTCCCATAGCTAGCAGACCGTGCAGCCCACCTGACCCCCCAGAACCCCTGCAGGGTGTCAGGGAGCCAGTGGCAGGGCCTGGACTCCCACTTACACATTCCTGTCCCACCACCAGCACCATCCAAGCTAAACACCCTAACTCGTGGGTCTGTGCATCTGGGCATCCGCCTGACCTGAGTTTTCTTGGGGCTCTGAGCAGGGGGAGGAGACTCAGGCCCAGCCTCCCAGGGTCTTGCGTCTGCAGAGGGTTCCCTAGGCTGGACAGAAACCTGAACTCCACCCTGTGGGTCAGCTCCCTGGCTGGGGCCCATCCTGTGGGCTATGGGCTGGGTAGAGGCAGCTCCCTCAGAGGACAGAAGCGGGGCCAGCCCGCAGAGACCTCCCCTCCCTAGCACAGGTCTCAACAGCCTCTGCCTCTGTTGACCTAGTTCCCGGCCCTCCCTCAGGGTGGTTTGCCCAGCTGGCCAGGCCACACCCGGCCCTGCCTCACCCTGTACTACCTGGTTTGCAGGTGTGGCCTCGGGACACTTCTCAGTGCACCTGCTTACCATCCCCCACCCCCAGCCCCGCTGCCTGCCCAGCCTTCGGAATGGGCTGCCCCAGGTTTGGGGTGGTCAGTGGGCTGTCACCAATCACCTCCCCCAGAACCTTGGGATGGGGTCGGTGCTCCCCTCCCCGGACCAGAAATGCTGCAGCCTTGCCCTCTGGGGTGTAAGCCAGGTCTGGGAGGTCCAGGCAGCTGGGGACTTGGGATGGGTCCTCAGGCCGCCACGCTCACTGTTCTCCGGTGTGCGATGGCTCCATTCTGATCCATTCTGATCTGGTCCAGGTCAGTGAGAATTAGCAGGGCTGTAATCAGAGGCCAGAGAGGCTGTGCCGGGGTGGGGGGCGCTGCCCTCTGTTGGGGACACTTGTCAGTAGGCAAGGCAGGTGGGGCTATGTGGGGCACAGGGTCAGGCCGCGGGCCTCGCGGGAGACCCAGCAGTGTTGGGTGTGGGTGCAGTCCAGCTCGGGGAGGGTCCCAGCAGAGGTGTGGGACCGAGCCAGCTGGCAACCAGCAGGGCTGAGGAGGAGAGAGAGTCACCCAGGGCTGTGCGGGGGACACCCAGTCCGAGTACAGGGGAGCCTGTGCTCGGGCCGGGTGTCCCCATGGCCTATATCCCAGGCTTCCCACCCAAGCACCTAGGATGGGTGGGTTTGCTGGGGAAGGCTTGCCCGCCTTGGAGGTTTGGGATGTCCGTGGAGGAAGGGGAGGTTTGTCCTGGGTCTCGTGGGGGCCAGCACTCGCTCTCACCTACTTCTCCTCATCCCTGTTGCCCAGGAGCCTGATGCCGCGCACGCTGGAGGGGCAGATCACCATGGAGAAAACCCCCAGCTACTTCGTGACGCGGGAGGCTCCCGGCCGCATCCACGGCATGTCTCCGGACACGAAGCTGATCGTGGTGGTGCGGAACCCCGTGACTCGGGCCATCTCCGACTATGCCCAGACCCTCTCCAAGACCCCGGGCCTGCCCAGCTTCCGGGCCCTGGCCTTCCGCCACGGCCTGGGCCCGGTGGACACGGCCTGGAGTGCCGTACGCATCGGCCTGTACGCGCAGCACCTGGACAACTGGCTGCGTTTCTTCCCACTGTCCCGCTTCCTGTTCGTCAGCGGCGAGCGCCTGGTCAGCGACCCGGCCGGAGAGCTAGGCCGGGTGCAGGACTTCCTGGGCCTCAGACGGGTGGTCACGGACAAGCACTTTTACTTCAACGCCACCAAGGGCTTCCCCTGCCTCAAGAAGGCGCAGGGGAGCGGCCGCCCGCGCTGCCTGGGCAAATCCAAGGGCCGGCCCCACCCCCGGGTGCCGTCGGCGGTGGTCCAGCGGCTGCGGGACTTCTACCGGCCCTTCAACCGCAAGTTCTACCAGATGACTGGCCAGGACTTTGGCTGGGACTGAGCAGGACAGGCCAGCCCGCGTCCTGCCGGGGGACACTCAGGAACCGCAATTCATGCCCGTCTCCCGGCCAGAGCCGCCCGTGTTCAGATGATGGGTAGAGAAAACTATTTAGGAAATACAGTTTGGATCTGTGTTCTTCCACACAAGCCTCGAAGGCTGCAAGGTGGGGGTTGGAGGGGGCCCCGTACAGGGAAGTGGTCATCACACCAGCTCTCCATGCAGGGCACTGTTCCCGTGCCAGGCATGGTCCCAAACCCAGGTCTCACACATGACTTGGGGTGTGCAGTGAGCTTGGCCGCATGTAACAGATGAGGCCCTGGGGCTCAGAGAGATTTAGGGCCTGCCCAGCTACACACAGCTTAGACCTATGGTTCTGGGGGCGGCCCTCAGGCTCTCTGGTCAGCCCTGGGATGCTGAGCTAGGTTGTCCCCATGTTTCGGATGAGGACACAGAGGCCCGAGGTGGCCCACTTGAGGCCTGGGGCAGGATTAATGTTGGATCTGTCCAACGACTACCCCTGTGACCTCAGCTGATTGCACATCTTAGTGCCCATTCCACGCTTCCTCCTGGAAATCTGGTGAAGTTGCCCAAGAGTGAGTGTGATGGGCAGTGGGGGGGGGTGGTTCTAACAGCGTTCAAGCGGTGGGGACAGTCTGGTACAGCCCACAACAGGCCACGCCCACAACAGGCCACAACTACGTGGCTCTTCCCACCCTCCAGACCCAGAGCTCTACAGGAAGTGACCATTTAATGGGTCCCACCCTCCCACCTCTCCCCACCCCACCCCAACCCCCACCCCCGCCCTCAGGCCCTGGATGCCCTAGTTCTGTGTGTGACAGGCTCTCTCCCCTGGGGGATGGGCCCAGGTGTGTGCTCAGCTCCTGAGTTAGGCCCCACTGGGCTGGGCGGTGCTCTCCGGTGCCCTAGCCGCCCCTGCCCCCTGGAGATCGAAGGCCCCAGCCACAGTGCTGCCTGCCAGGTGTTCGCAGACTGCCCCGACAATGGCCTCCAGGGACGCTTAGGCGCAAACCTGACATGGCCAGGTTTTGGGACCAGGCTGCCTCCTCTGCACCCCAGGCCAGGGGTCCATATCAAATCCTTGGTCCTGATGTGGCCTGTCCATCCCCTGGCTACTCGCAGCAGCTGTGTGTCCTGGGCCCCAGAGTCGAAATGAGGGAGGATTTCCAGGGATGCAGGAGCCCCTCTTTCTGGCTGACTGAGAACCGGGGGCTGGGGTCAGCTGAGAAGAAGGAGCAACAGGACGTGGGGAGGGAGATGGGGCCTCTGCCCTCTGCAGCCTGGAGCCCTGCCCTTGTTTCTGCTGGTTCTGGGCCCAGAAGACACTCCTGTCTGGACTGTCCTGAGGGCCTAGCACTGTCTCTAGGCTCCATCACCAGGGTCAGGCTAGGGGCAGCACTGGGAGCTGCTCCCGAGAGACCTTGCTGGAAATGTAGTGGGCAGATGTGGACGTGATGTTCCTGTGCCCTCCTCCCCAGCTCTGACCTCTGATGTGGGTGCGTGGGGGGCACTGGCCAAAGTTGCAGTGACCATGTGGAGGAAAGAATCCCTGCTGGGGGGCAAGCACTGGGCTTGGTGGCTCCAGCCCCATTCCCAGGGCTGTGGCCCCACTTAGTGACCATGTGGTAGCCTGCCCCGGGCTGCACGGGCAGGAGGGGAGTCAGGAGTCTAGCTCCCAGCCTGGTCCATGCCTGTCTCCCCTTCTTCCCAGACACACCCTTGTCAGACGTCTACCAGCTCATGCCAGGGCGGCTCTAGGACACCTCTTTTGTTCTCCTACGACGGGCTTCTTAGCTTGCACGGCAGCTGAGTGCCGTGCACTTAGGGGGTGTCCTCAGAGTAAACCAGATCCCATTATTTTAAAACACTCCAGTCTTCTCCCCCCACCCCCATGGCCTTCAGAATGAAAACCAGATGCCTGACCGCAGCCTTGCAGGCTCCTGGAGGCCTGCCCCTGCCCCCCAGCCTGCACGCTCCTCTCGTCCCGATCTTCTGCCTGTCAGCTCCTTCCACCTGCCAAGGCCCGGGTCCCCTTGGCCCACGCTGTTCCCTGCGGCTGGAATGCCTTTCCTCACAGAAGGCACAGACAGACAGGGCGCCAGCCTTCAAAAGGGGCAACTGTACTCTCCTCCTGGGCTCATTTCCTCCCCACATTTCGAGTCCCTTTCCCGAGCTCCCTGACGTGACCCACTTTCCCCTTCCTGAAGCTTCTCGGAAGCAGAACTATGGGACTCACTCGTTTGTCTGGCTTCGGTGCCCAGAAGGCAGACTGGGAACAGGGAAGACAGAGGGTGGCCTGGCTCGTTCTGGTCTTCCCCCTCCCCTTGGAAACGTGCCCGGCCGCCAACGCCCAGAGCCAGGTGCCCGGCTGGGGCTCGGAACACACTGAGGGCAGATGTGGTGGGTCCTCCCGGCTGCGTGTGGGGGTGGGTCTCTGTGGGAGAGTCATCGGCCTTTAATTAAAGTCCCTAAATTGTTTCCCCAGCTGCTCAGTGGGTTTTCCATGTTGGAATGTTCCAGATGGGGCGAGAAGTGCTGATTCAGTTACCTTCTTCCTGCTCTGCTCTGTGGAGGAGAAAGGCCCGGGACTCCTGCACTCCTCCTAAGCCAGCCACATTGGGATGGGGAGGTGGGGCTGGGGGTCTTCACCGGCCCCAGGCCCTTGGGCCATGGTGGGTAGAGGCTGGGGGCCCGCCAGGACAGGCAGGTGTGTCTGGTGTGGGGTGAGTACAGAGTTCTTTACCCTGTACCTTCTGAATGTGGGCACTGGGCACCCCGAGCCGACCCTAGCCTGAGCAGCCTCCTTGCCGGCTGGGCTGGGGAGCTTCCGGCCCCGGGTCTGCCCTCCCTGCAGGCCCAGCAGCACGTCCCTGTGATGAATCTTCATTTCGGCTGAGGAGAGGGGACCCAGGAAGTGCCAGTGGTGTGCCCTGCCCTCTTCCTTATCCTTATACCCGCATTGCTGGAGTGCTCGCCAGCTGCAAACCCACCATCATGGGGGGCCTGGCTTCCTCCCTTCCCTGGAGGATGCGGGAGTCCAGCTGCAATCAGCTGCTCACTCCTGTCCTCCTGTGAGGGGGTCCCTGTCTCCAGGGCTGGAGGGCCTGTTTGCTTCCTTCCCAGGCTTCTAAGACTGGCTGCAGGGCAGGCCCGGATATGGGAGGGGAGCCTGCCCATTCTGGGCAGCACCTGTGAGCCCCTTTCACCCCAAGAGCAGGGGTGCTTTGGGGAAAGGCCTGTCTTCCTGGTCCCTGTGGCCAGTCCCCATGTCCCGGCATGGACACCTCTGGGACCTGTCCCCTCAGCCAGATCCAGAGGCCTTTCCAAAGTCTAGATGGCCTCTTTCTTGGGAGCTCCTTGTTCCTCTTCCTTAATAGGTGACCAGATCCCTCCCCATAACCACCCCTTCCAGCACCACTGCCAGGACGGGCCCGGAAAAGCATGCAGACCCTCGATGCTGTCCTATGGGTGGCCGTCCAAACTCTGGATGCCCTCTGTGCCCACGGAAGCGTGCAGTAAGTGGCTGGGAATTTACTGATGCATGACCCCTATGGTTCATTTCTGCAGGACTCTCCCTTTCTAGAAGTTTTCTCTTAAATTGTCATGGGCCGACTCCTGAAGACTCTGTCCTTGGGGGCAAAAACCCAGGTCAGAGGGTGGGTTGGGGGCCTGAGGGAGGCTGGGGTGGAGGGACAGAGCCTGAGGACCCAACGACTCAGACTCCATCCTATCCCTCTCAGTCCCTCGAACGACCCAGCCCAGTCTTGAAAGGCCGGGGCTGGGGGAGGGGCCCTCCAGTAGGAAGCCTCCTGTGGCCTGAGGTCAATCATGCTTCTCCCTGGGGCTCTCTGATTCCAAAGTCACCCTTTCTCTATTTCCCATGTGCCTGCCTGCAGCCTGCCAGAGCCCAGCCGTGCCCAGGCCGGGGGGTCCCTGCAGGTGCAAAGCCGGCGGACAGTGGTCAGGGGATGGAGGGCTGCTTAAGGAAAACCATGAGTATAAAGCAGGCCCTTCCTGTATGTTCCCGGGAGGTTTACAAACCGTGGTACAGATGAGAATGCCCACAATGTCCACGGCCACGTGACACACCGGAGCTGAAGGTGGAAACAATCCAGTATCCATCCACAGAAGAACAGATACACAGAACGTGGTCTCCCCAGGCCCTGGGCTCTTCTTCAGCCATGGAAAAAGTTGAAGCTCTGATGTGGTCCACGGCATGAATGCATCTTGCGAACAGTATGTAACTGTATGTAACTTGACACCTGGCACAGGCATTGTCCAGACTGCCAGGACAAGAGGCCGGGGCTCTGCTCCCCCTCAGAGCCAAGCTCCTGGCTTTGAGGCTGAGAGATTTTTTTTTTTAAGATTTTATTTATTTATTTGACAGACAGAGGTCACAAGTAGGCAGAGAGGCAGGCAGAGAGAGAGAGGGAAGCAGGCTCCCCACTGAGCAGAGAGCCCGATGCGGGGCTCGATCCCAGGACCCTGAGATGATGACCTGAGCCGAAGGCAGAGGCTTAACCCACTGAGCCACCCAGGCGCCCCTGAGAGATTTTTTTTATACGGGCTTAATCAGAGCCACGTTGCACGGGCTCTGTGCTGGAAAACTCAGTTCAATAGGACAGTTCACGCCACGCTGTTGCAGGAGGATTTCCACCTCAAGTATCTTGCCGAAGAGGCCAGCGGCTCTGGAATCTCGTTCTCGATGCCTCTCTGCTCCCGACCCCCTGCCACAGCCCCGAGCCCCGGGGATCGGGTCCGACCCTGCTGCCTCTCTTCTGGCTTCCAAGAGGGAGGACAGGGCATTTGAGGGAGAGCCTGTCTGGAGAGGTACCCTTTGGCCAACCGCCGGTGGGGAGGCCCCTGTTCTGTGAGGGGACGGGAGACGGAGCGGAGCGACCCCGCAGCCCACGAGTCCTTGGCCAGCCACACCCGTCTATTCGGGAGAAGCATCTGGAAACTGTCTGGCCCCTGTCTCACTGTCTGGGGCGGGGTGGGGAGCCCCCTTATACAGGGGGTGTACGGGGCTGCAAAGCAGGGAGACACACAGGTGCAAGGCAGCATTGCCGGGGTGCAGATGGCAGGCAGGCCCGGAAGAGCAAACCCGGATGACTTTGTGCCGCGGCAGCCCACGGCCTCGTGCTGCGCTCAGAGAGAAGG